TGTGATGGCAGGCAAATGTGCAGGCTCACGCCGTGGCATCCGCCTGCGACAGATCCCGCCTCCGGTCTTCTTAACTCTCTCATGAAACCGCGCACAGGTGAGTTGGGAAAGAGGATGTGCGGTAGATGCATCGCAAGTCCACTATCACTGAAAACTTACAAACGCACAGATTACCGCCCCTGCACCCCGGTGAACGTCAGTCGAATTGTCGGGTTTTCGACAAAGGTCCGCTATCTAGCGCACGTGTGGTACCCCTTACCCTGGGATTCCATCTTACGGGACCGGTGTCAATGGGGGTTTTATGGGTGGAACCTTACGGGTCGCAGGTGAGAAACTAAAACAAATATACCATACAAAAGCGGGAAATAGTAGACGAAATTGTCATACTTAGCTTATATTTACAATAAACCAGCGCGCAATAACTGAAAAATAAAAAATACGATTTGCCGCAATTCAGATGTGAATCGGACCTGAGGGTTCAAAAAATCCAGGCCGAATCCAAAGCCAAACAAATCCACGGTTGCTTAGCTTATATTTACAATAAACCAGCGCGCAATTTCTGAAAAAATAAAAAAAAACGATTTGCCGCAATTCAGACGTGAATCGGACCTGGGGGTTCAAAAAATCGAGCTCGAATCCAACGCCAAACAAATCCACGGTTGCGTGGTGCGTGGTGCGTGGTGCAATTTGCTTAGGTGAAGTTAACATGCATGGGACTACTGTAGAAAGAATCAACTGGTCGCATGGAAACCGAGCGAGTCAGGGCAAGAAATTGTAAATATGCGGTTGCCTAGTACAGCAGTTAGGCAAAAGTAATTGCCGATCGCTAAAGGTTTTCATGTGGGGAATGCAACGAGCTAGACTAAGTTACCTCGTAAAATGGTAACCCAATGTGCCCCGACCGTCAGCAATGGGATGCAATGAGGTAAGTCCAAATGTGGAGAAATGCGATTGCAATAAAATCAGTAGGTGCAAGGGTGACTACTTAAACGCATATAGTAGTTATTTAAGTATATTTAGCGTACGTGATTATATCATTACTACCCGCCCTATCTAAAACCCACCTACATTCCTGTCATAAAAAGGACCAAAGTGCGATTACCCGGCGGAGTACGAGGAGCATGAGTCGGTTCAATCGTCAAGACCACCATCAAAGATTAAGGCGAAACGGTACTGGAGTAAAATGCGACAAGAACTACTTAGGAAAAGTAAGCAGATGGCGGATGCTCGGATGCAGACTGTGGTCCCCAACACCGAGACTGAGCTCTACTCCCTCGAACTGGAAGTTATATTTAAACGCATGAGTAGTAGAACGACGAGCCTTCGAACTATCGATCGCAGTATTCACATGGATAAGGAGGCACGAAGGCAGTTGCGAAAAGTTCTCGGCGGCTCGGAAGAGAGGACAAAACAGTTTCTGGCCGAGACCACATCACCGGCCGGTTTCTTACTCTACCTCACCGAGATTCTGGGGGATCGGGGCAAGGCGCTGGCCCTGCTAGAGGAAGCCGCTGAGGGTTCCGTAACCGCCTACGACGAACTGCTACGCCTCCTGCCAGACACAGAGAAGCTGACAAAAATTCTTTCCAGCTTCGAGGCAGCCAGCAAAGAGGCCATCCTGATATTGGCACCGAATGTTCTGCTGCTGCCTCATGTGACACACCTCTTGCACGCTATTCGGTTATATAACCTGGGTCGAGATGACGTAGCGAGTCTGCTAGCCGGTAAATGGACCCCAATCGGCCAACCGGATTCAAAGGAGTTCCGCTACACCGAGACCCTGCACTTGGGCCTGCAGGAGATGACGGACTTTCTGACGGCTTTTATGGCCAACGATGTGGATAAACTGCACGCGATGGCCGCTGTCTTGCCGGCCAACTTGAAGCGGGTGATGAAGGAGAACGATATTGCCGAAAGGTGAGTGTGAAGTGGATATTTCCTTTTATTGTCGGCTGCCAATGAGATGGAAAGTTCGCGTTCCAGGGGTTTGCGCGGGTAAAGCAGAAGACTTGTCGAGCAGTGGAACAATTAGTATTTTGTCCTGAGCCTTCAATCACTTTTGAGTGATGCACGTCTGGACGTGACTGCGCGCGACTACGCAGGACTATGCACGCCGGTGCCAAATCAATATACCGATTGATTGAGTTCCCATTTGTTGAATCCGGCTTCAATCAATTCTCGG